GGCAGAGATCAGCCTGCTGGAATATTTTTGCAGTCACAGCTTTCAGGGGGGGAAAAGAGCAAAAAAGAATAGAAATAACAGCAGATAGTAATAGATGATGGTCATCAGTCAGATTCACTAATGCAACCTCTGTGCGTGGGTGTTGAATACTGCAAATTCTTGTCCTTTTATGCATGCTCTATCAACAAGAAATTTCCTGAAAATGTTTAAGAGGTAAAACCTTTGTTAAATTATAGTGTTCGATAAGGTTTGGATAGTAGCACTAACAAGCAGAGAGACAGTAAGAGTGAGAATGATAGAGAAATAATATAACAAAGCCTGACACAGTTTGCATTGTATGTGTGTGTGTGTGTGTGTGTGTGTGCGCGCTTGTAAGTGTAGCCTTGTTTAGAGAGCTATTTTTGAGAGGCAGCATAGTAAGTTGTGGTGACCAAACAAAATCACATGAGCTTTTTGGAACGGGCTGACTCAATGTTTCCACTGTGAAAAGAAAGAGACAAGAAGAAGAGCAAGATGAGATATTTAAACTCCTCTGCACTGGAGATGTGTCTTTTCCCAAAGTCTAAAGGCAGAATCCATAGTTTCCACACAGAAAAATGGAAAGTATAAGAGATGGAGGAAAGGAGAGTAATGTAATCCGTAACCTTTTGTATCCTATCATGCATTGATTTTCCAGGTTTTCTGACCCAACTGAATACCGACCAGTCAAACAGGGTTCTGATTTAGACCTTTCTACCTATGACATACTGTATATTTGACAGCGCTGCCATCTATTTTGTAAAGCCTAAGTTATAGTTCTTTCCAGTTAGCCATTGTCTTCCATTCATTTCACCATACATGATCTTGCCGCCACTGTAAACCTGAGATAAAATTCATCATAATGCTCAAATCTCAGATTCATTTGAAAAGTCAAGATGGTGCATTCAAGAGCTGGTAAGAAGTTTGGACATCCTTGACGATATTCACCATCATTTGAACTCATCATCCTAAAAGACCTTTAAAATTTTGAAAATTTGAGCTGCATTAAATTGCAACAATAATATAACTAAAACAAAGGCGACATGATGTTCATAGGGATGCATTCATATACCTGCTGTATGCCAAGTTTCAACTGAAATGAATGGAAGCCAATGGCTGCCTGAAACACAGGGAAAAGTATGCAGAATATTGGAAATGTATTTAAAAACTGCTCTCTGTAGTAACTGAGATAAAACATGCTATCATAACAGCATTATGCTTTAAAGTAGGTCTGTAGATATTGTGTAAAAGAGTTGTATCATCGCGTTTGTTCGGTTGGCTGAATGATTGTGTCGTTGATTGACTGGTGCACTGATTTACTCTCTGGTGGATTTTCTGGTTGACTATCTAGTAAGTTGATTGGCTGACTGCCTGCTTGCTTTTTCTCTCGTGTTGTGTCTGTACTTTTTTTTTTGTTGCATGTTTATCAGTCTATTCTCGTATTGCATCACACTAGCACTACTGTGTGCATGTGTACACGGTGGTATCTGTGTGTGTACCAGTTTAACTATTTGTTAGAAGCCTGCAGAGTTGCAGTGACAGCAGGAAAATGATTTTGTGGCAGCAGGTTTTCTATTCTCAAATGTTGGAAGGGGTTATTTGAGGCAAGAGTTTAAATGAGGTGACTATTAGAGGATAAACCGTGTGTGTCTGTGTGTGTGCATGTGTGTGTATTTCCTTTTCTGTAATCCTGAGATATAAGGTTGACTATCAAGAGTGTTGGTTGGTGAAACTGGTTTTGGCTTCATGTCAGATTCTCAGAGGAGTACATCTGCTTCTGATTGCAGTGGAAATCAACCCTCTCATCCTGACTGAAATACAGCCAATCAACCAAATAACAGACCAGCCCCAGTCTCTACATCAGGTTTTTAAGCTTAGGTAATTATTTTTATTCCCAGAACACTTGATTCACTGTAACCTTTTTTGACATTACTGTTTGTGTTTGGGTTAAACAAACAAGATGCAACATGTTAATTTATTAGTTTTGGAGGTGCTGGTAGGTATTCTTTGGGAAAAGCCAGGCTCTAGCCTCCATTCTTTATCCTAAACTAAGCTAATAGCTCCATGGCTCTAGCCTCACAGACACGCGAGTAAGTTTAAACAAAGCAAATAAATGAATATCCAACTATTACTTTGAATCCTTAAACCCAGTTGACAGAGATCTGAGCATGCATCCCTGTCTGTTATCGGACAGCCATCTGTAATGTTTAATAAAAATGAATCCAGGTGTAAACTGAGGTGGGACGATGTTCTGATCATTCGTAATCTGATCCCGAGGTGGTGTGAGACATATTGTATACAGATCTTGGTCAGATGTAAATGCGTCAGTTGTGTTAAACCACATACATAAAGTCTCAGCTCCTCCCAGGTACACCACATCCTCCTGTTATGTTTTCATTGATAGGTTTTCCTGCACTTTCATTAGATACAGATTTCTGTAGATATAATATATAAGTGCCTTTCTTGACTACAGAGCTGGATGTACTGTTTTATGGAAGGATACCGGCATTTTGCAGTTTGGGTCAGAACATCTGATTAATCTGACGTTAAAACTGATCTATAAATCCCTCCCTGACTAGCCCCTTCCCTAGTTACATAGTCAGGTATCTAGGCATCAATAGATCAACAAATTGGACATGTAGTGAAACAAGCTTTCAGTAAGTTTTGCTTTGTGTCTTGATAATCATAAATCTGCCAACGTGGTCTCTTCCCTCACTCTGCAAACTGCAGACCATCTTGACAGTTAAATCATGACAGTGGTTCATGAGGTGAGGAAAGAAAAGAAAGTCTGCCAACTTAAAACCACAAGGCTTGTGTCTGTCTTCCAAAGCTGCTTTGAGGAGAGACAAGTCTGTAATGTGCAACATGATAAACGCTGCTCCAAGCAAATTAACATTAATAACAATAATTGTAAAGTTTTCACGACAGAAAAGTATAATTACATATCTAAAGGCCAGAAATTGTGTAACCTGAGAAAATAAATCACTGAAGGAAAATTGCAATCCTTTACTAGAGAAGTTGCTCTCACTCCTATCAAAATAAAGGTGAAGTTCTAACCTGTGATGTCAAACGACAAACTTTTATGCTCCAAATGAAAGGGGAGGCTGAACTAATGCGTTTTCACTTGAGCTTCACCCACACAAGTCTTGATTTATGATAATAGCAGAAGTTTAGGTTGTGGAGATGAAACCAAATCCCCAAAAAATCAATGTTGGGAGAGTTTGCTCTTCACTTCAATGCCAAACACAACAGTCCCTTGATGACATTTGGGGGAAATCAAGGTTCAGTTTTAGCCTTACAGTTCTGAGTCTCTGCTGCTCTTTCAGCTACTTCCTACACTGCTGTCTCCTCTAATGTTGATTTAAAGTTAGAAAGTTCATAAGATGATGATTACTGGGGAACAAATCCTAGGAAAGAAGAATTAAGTGGTTCCAGATATGTTAATGGAGGCTTGTGACAGGTTTTTGTTTGTTTTTTGTTTTAGTTTTGTTCATAAAAAGTAGGCAGTCCCGTTTCTTCTTTCATGGTGCATTTAATTTAAACCTCCAACCCATAATAAAATTAGATTAAGAGTCTACAGCCACACCAATGGCTCTGTGAGGCTGTCCTTCACAGCTTTGAACTAAATGCTTATGTCAGCATGGCAACATGCCTGCAGTAACAACGCTAACAGGCTGATGTTTAACAGGTGTAATGTTTGCCATGTTAAACATTTTAGTTAAGCATGTTTACATGCTAACAATTGAGAATTAGCCCTAAAAACAAAGAACCAGAAGCATCCCGCTCTGCTCTGCGGAGAGTATGCGGCTGGTCTATTTTTCACGGAAGCGCCAAGTAGCACGGAGCAGATTGCATTGGCAGGAAGTCAGGAACAGAAACAGCATAGAGAATCTGGACTAACACAAGTTAACGATGTCGGACAGGCAAGATGCCCTGAAGACGCTTTGCTTCTGAAACGCTCCTGGTGGGATTTGAAGATATGCGGATGACAGAGCCAAACTGCGTCGCTTGTACGCTGCCATGAAGCCGTGCCCGGTGGGATTTTGGCGTTTTCTTGGGAGGATTCATTCACCATGAGTAGCATCTTACACGCTTTCATGTTTGAGTCTGTATGCATGAGGGTTCAAAACTCAATATGTCTTTTTCTGCTATTGTGGATGCCTCTTCGACAATGGATTTCTGTCTGCAAGCATCTCTATGAATCCTTCAGGCTTCACAAACTGGTTATATACAGGAAATCTGGGTCAAGTCTTGTTCAAATCAGTGTTCTGGCAGCTCTTCGGTCACCTTAGTCAGAAGCAGAATTATAAGCAGGCGGATTCATTACAGGGTTAACTAGTCTTCCCCTCACCTGTTTCCTCCTCTGGCATTAGGGGTATCTGTGGTTTTTGGCTTACTTTTCGAATCAAACCACACAGCTTTGATATTCCTCTCTTGCTCTAGTCCGTAAAGATCCTGTTTTTCATAGAACAGTCTTGCCTCAGGGTAAAAGGCTTATTCTGTGCCAGTCGATGTCTGGATGGTATTGTACACTCCATCCGGCTGGGCTGTATTTGAAGGGCCTCGTGCCAAAACAGGACATCCATCTTCCAGCGGAAAAACTGATTCCTACTCTTGTAAATTCCTTAGTTATTCTTGTAAATGCTTCAGTTAAAGTGTAAGGTTTCCTGTTTAAACCTTTATTTATTAGAGCAAGACTAGCTGAGGATGTATTTTTTTAAGCAGAACCCTGCTCCACATTCACACATCGCCAAGATTTCACACCTGAGACCTACAGAGTGTAACTACAAGTTCATTAGTTAAATTAGAAGAGTTTTCAGTTTAGTCCTAACATAAATTTGAACTGGAGCTAATAGGGTAAAATGGTATATAACAAACATTTCAGCTAAATCTTTTGTCTAACTAACTAAAGTTGTGTTTCTTGGTATAAACGAAGTTACCAGATACTTTTCAAGTCATTCATTGTGGAGATCCCCACCCACCTTTCCACCTTTCTTTAGTCACAGGAACCTTGTTGTTTCTGGAGTGTTTTCTTTGGGGCCAAACTTCCCAGTGCGCATCCACCCAGGGGAAATGTCCTTTCTCTCCTGTCCACCTGGCAGATCTCTTATCTGCTGCTGCTGCTGCTGGAGCATTGGACTGATTCCGACTGCAGGGATGAAGAACAGAAAAGAAAACACCTGTTTCAGTCAACAGCGTGCCAAATGTGTGGGAATGACTGCAGAGAGTTGTTCAAAATAGCAAACGACAGGAAAGGCAGTTTAGGCGTACAGTATGAAGGAACTGTTAGAGGTGATTTCACTTACTAATTCAATTCTCTCCATGAAGATGATGTCATTTTCAACAGAAGAAATATCTGAAGACTGGACAGCACAGGTTAGCCAGGATTAGATCATTTTGTTAGATGTGTCTAACAAGATGTTTGCGCATTCTAACGTGAATCCAAGCTGTCAGCTTGACTTGTTTTAACTTTCTACAAACTCAGCCCTCATTGGCTGTTGGTGTTGAATGAGCTTTCCATCAGTTTAAAGGAGGACATTTGGTGAAAGTCACTCCAATAATCCTTGACTGAATCTTTTCTCTTCTTCGTAATTCAGAGTTTAGTTTGTACTTTATAAAGACGTTAGGTGATTTGTAAAGAGAAAATCCATCATTGTTACATATAAAGGTCAGTTTAATCGTCACTGAATAGCATATACTGCATGACAATTAATTGGCCTTTAATATGGATACCACTCAACCCGTGAAAATGGTTGTATAATGTCTTTTCTGGCTTCGGAGGGTGATTTCCAAAGTCTGATAATTACCTTGATAAAGTCATCGGGGTTATCTTGAGACTTTTCACTATTGACAATTGCATCATGGGAAATGTAGGATTCAATGTTTTCTTACTTTTACTATGGAATATAAGACAGGGTATCTCTGTTGCTTTGATTTTTTCTTTATGCACGTGACTAAATGACTGAAATATCCCTTTAATTTGACATTATTAATAATAGATTGTTTACATATATTACATATATTATACAGTCTTTTATATACACATAAAGTATATTGTGAGAATTTCCAAAAATGCATGCGAGTGTACAGCATACAGTGACACAATTTTTTAAAGTGAACAAATCTAGCCAGAAAGACCGGAAGCCTTCAGACACATTCAAACATATAAACACATGTTGCACATATGCATTCATACACACACTGACATAAGGAAATCACACCTGGAGACAGAGAGAGTAAAGAGAGTTGTGGCAGGATGTAGAGAACTGTACTTACCTGCTTCCTGTGAATGTAAACCTACAGCGTGTGTATGTGTCTCTTTGATTTTAAATCATAAGGGGACCCCTTTATGATTACCTGAACATTTGATGTATATCATAGAACACAATTTTTTTGAAATTAGAGCTCACTACATGAATAATTTCCTGAACTGGACTATTTGCATTAAATGGTCAGCTGATGGTTGAGTTTATGCATATAATACATATATACACATATAGTAGTAGTAGAAAGTGCTCTTTTCACTCATTAACCACATACGTACCTAGGGAAGTTTACCCACCAACAACTTCAGCCAAATTCTTTATCCAAAATAGTATTACATTTGCCATAAATATCTTGTATACTGTATCAAAATACAAACAATAAAACCTACATTTTACCTCTTGTTTGTCCGACTTTGTAAGTAGGAAAACATGATTATTGGTAGTTGTGATACTAAGACTAATAAGCTCTATACTTCAATACATAAACAATGCTGTTTCTTTATTTGCATGTCCTCTACATGGATCATCAACATGATGCTAACTTTAGCCATCAAGTGCATAGTTAAAAGGGTTTTTAAACAAATCAGATAGCCAATGATGGCGTTTTCAATCAAGTCACAGAGAACGTCGAGGGCTGTCGTGATAACAAAATATAGCGCTATTGACAAGCCAGTCGCAGATGATGGCAAGCCACCGCCACAATCACTCGTCACATCATCAAGTCATGTTCAATGTTTGTTTTTGTTAGACTGAAAAGGGTCCTAGAGCAGCTAGGCTGAAGAGACTCGACACTGCAGAGAGTCTTAAACCAGGATTACAATACCACATCATCATAGTTAAAGATTATTGTCTTTACCCATCTTCCTCCTGTGAAATCATCATCCTTACTGCTAGAATATTTCTGTCAAACTTCTTAATTTTTCTAGTTGCGTCTCCACCCAATAATTTCCTGTTTGAGAAACAGATGTATTTTTGTATTGAAACTTCTTCTTTTTTCTCTCCTCTCTATCCCAGGGGTGGGCAGGCGGACGCAGGCGGGCTTTGATCCATCTGAACCCTCTGCCTCACATCCACCAGGAACCCACCATGCTGTTCTGCATGGGCCTCCTGCTCCTTCTGATTGGACGGATAATTTACCTACAGGGCAGTACGGACAGCCAGGACCACTCTCAGGTTTAGCCTTTGGAAAACCCAGCAGACGTAGCATATTTCTTCAATAATGTATCTGTGTTGGAGCTATCACACCTTGACTCTCCTTTATATTTATGGGGAACTAATTTTCACCGTTCTTCCTGCCTTTCCCAATTGAGGAAGGAAACTTTTGACTGGTCATTTTGATGAAGATGATTTGTCAACACCTATAAGGAACTGTAGAATGCCTGAATCTTTGTTTTATCACCTCTGTTTTTCCTTCACGGCTTCTAAGCCTTTCCAGTGCTACCAAAGAGCCGGGATTTTGCACTCCTTTCCAGCACAGAGGCAGTCATGACATCTAGATATGACTCTGTGCAAAATTACGCCTGTGGAAATTCAAATGTGCCTTGTACAGTTTCCTGTTTACTTTTTTAGCTTCTTTTAAGTTGTGATCAACTCTGCAGACCCAGGGTTGTTAAAGTGCGTGGGTCCAGTCCGCAACATGTATCTCTATCTTTCCCCTCCTGAAGGTTATAGGCAGGGAAAAATGATCTTGCACTCCTGCCACATCAGAATCCTGCATGCAGAAGACTTGTGAACTGTGTGGGAACCAACTGGGCCAAAGTGATCTTTTTTCCCCAACGCTGTCGTCATATAATGTTCCTAAACTACTATGCCATTAAACATTTGGTTTCCATGAATTACACAACTCCTTAAGTCTACATTGTTAGTGTATACACCACTATTTTCAGCTACAGAAAAAAGAATAAGAAATAATTCTGTGGTAAATAAAGGAAAATGCCCTCTGGACTGATTAGTGCATACAATATTTAAACGATCCACCTTTTCCTAGAGAAATTAATCCTAATCAAAAGATTACTTCACTTGTCAAAACAATAGTAAGACTTGAGTATTTGTTACTAAGTTGCCCAGTTAGTAAGTAAGACCAACATGATGAACAAAGGAAATCATGAAATCATGTCAATCATTTAAACCATTAAACAGTGTAATTTCCTGTTGTCTTGTTTACTCATCTTCTACGTGTTGCTTTTACAAACCTTACTTTACCGTTGCTTTAATATTCCAAGCATTTTTCTATATAACAATTTCAATAACTGATGAAACCCTTCTGTCTTCCACCGTTCTTTGTTTCAGCCTCTGGATTTGCCATTAGCAGCCAGACTGAATATAGTTGGAAAGTACTGGTTTGTTGACAAGGTCATGTTATCCGTTTATTAGCACAGTGATTCAGACCCGGCCAAGTCTCCTCATGCCTGCCAGGTCATTAAACACTCAGAGATTTCTGGACTACAACCAAACACTGAATCATGCAGAGTCAAAGAGGGTTTTGTCACTTATTATTTAGCTAATATATCAAACAATGGTGATACAGGTTTCAGATTAAACAGGTATTACTATTAAGTATATTTTTTATCTTTAAACTCTTTAGGCTCATTAAAACATATCAGTTCTCATATCAGTGGATGTGTGTTGCTCTTTATTGGAGGTGGGGATGTTAACCAGACTTACATTTGCCAAACTGATTAGTTAATCCTCATCATTGAAGTCTTCTTTTTTCAAAACAAAAACATAGAGTTGGAAAACTCTTTTGGTAAATTTGAACTTTGTATGGCTCGTCCAAGTTTGTTAGTATGGAATGGACTAATTGTTGCCCCTTGTGCCTATGGGCGAAAAAAAACCCATTACAACTGTTGTTTACACCAACCGTAGTAACTGCAGTTCTTCAGGGGGCAGTTATTATGGCTTACTTTATTGAAGTTTTCAAACTGTATTTTTCATGTTTTACAAGAAAAAAAGACTTCAAGGATGAAGACTTGTTGGTTTTGCAAATGTATGTTAAAGAGTAGTGCACAGCCGCTTGTCCAAGCAGTGGATGAGACTGTCCCAAGCGGGGCTACCCATCACCCAGACTGGGTTTGGATTTTCCATGTTCTGCCCATTGAGCCACACAGTAGGTAACATCAGACATTGTGTTTTAAAAGTCCATGGATGCAGTGTTAATGTTGACCAAAGAGATTTGTGCAAACTTATAGTTTTCTGGGGTGTTTTCGGATGGTACAAGTGAAACGTTATCAAATTCTCTGCCATACTGTATGTTGTTTTGATCGGTACTACCAAATCACAAAATCACATCAGCTACGGCAAGTGTCTGCTTCAACCTGACTGGAATTAAAATGCAAATGTAATTTTTTGTTTTATGCTATTTAACATCAATTGGTGTCAGAAAAATACTTTGAAACCGTTTGACCAAGATATGATCTCGCTCTGCATTTAAAGCTTGACTCTTCAATGGAAGTTTGTCTGTTTCAAATGAAAGTCTCTATACGCAGCAATGAAGATATCATGTTGTTATGTGTGTTACATGTTTTGGATTTAATCGTCTTAAGCAAATACGTTTCTTCACTGTTGAATGTGAACTGTGAGGTTATGCAAACGAGAACAGCAAATCAGAGCAGCAGCAACAGAAGTTTGTTGTAACACAATCGATAACCAAATTCATCTGAGTATGTGTTTGAGCCAAGCTTGGATGTTTGCACAGTTGTGTCAACACAAATGCATCACAGACCGATCCTGGTTTTCATCATTCATAAACTCTCTTTTCAGAAACTCTGTCATCTGTGTAATCTCATGTTTTAATAGTGCTAAATTAGCTGTTCAGCTTCAAGTGTCATTTTCAATCTTCCTCCAATGAGATGATGGATTACTGTCTATTAAGAGACCGAAGCTTGTTGACATTTGTTACATTTGTTATTGCTTGCATAATGTAATGGGTAATGTCATGGGTGATTTATTTCAGTAGTGTTTGTACGGATGCAGAAATCCTTAAAAATTATCCACCCTTGACAACAGTCTCAAAAATCGTGTGTTAAGGACAGAAATCATGGATTAGACATCCACATGCACAAATAGACAATGGATTAGACATCCACGTGCACAAATAGACAACAGCATGAATTAGTCATGAAGCCAGAGGGGTTGCATGGGCCCCTCCTGGAAACTGACCGACCCCCACTATCAAGGTGATAAGTGGCTTATTGGTATCATGGGTGGATACTGAACTGAAGGCCCCTAGACCACAGCCTCTGTATAAAGTGACTGCAAACATTTCTTGTTGAAAAGTCCATCAAGCAACTACAAAAAGACTCAAAATGACCACAAGGAGAAGCAAAAAGACTTGTAAGAGATGCAAAGTGACATCAAAGAGATGCAAAACGACTCCAAAGAGACTCAAAACGACCACCTAGAGATACACAACCGCACAGAGACACAAAACAACTACAAAGAGAATCAAAACGACTACAGAGACGCAAAATGACCATAAAGAGTGGTCATCTTTTAGTGTGGGGGTCTTACTCCTACGAAGGAGGGGTTGGGAACTTTATGTCTGTGTCCAGGGGCCTCTTGTCTCATAATCTGCCCATGGTTGTTGGGTATTAAGGTTACAAATAGCATTTACTGATATTATTTCATCTTACAATATTTAAAGTTTTTTGTCGTTAATGTAGTACACTGAAAATACATTGTTACTATTAATAACATACATTTAATTATTTCCAGGAACCCAGGCTTAACACATCTTTACTCATTTTACAAATGAGTGGATTTCATTCATTGGTCCACATTTAATTTTCATCACACTACTTCCTGTTTCTAGTTGTGTTTCCTCCTCGTCCTAATCCTTTCCTGCTGGAGAAATGTATAAAAGAAACATGAAACATATCAGTTTACTGACATACAGTATACTTCTGGAAATGCACACTTTTCTGTGTGCCGAATTTACTTGCTTTGCTCTTCCTCCGCTGTGACATTGAGAGTGCTGTGACTGCATGTTGATTTCTGATATTGTGCCATGTGAAACCTAAGACCTCATTTAGAAGTACTGTATTACAGCTGGAGTGTGAGAGGAGAGCTTGGCAGGGAGGAAACTGAAAGATGAATTACCATCTCTGAAACTGATATGGAAACCTGGTTATGCCGCCTATCATTTGTAGGTGTTACAGTACAGAAACGGTTGTGTGACATTCAGGATTTTACTGACTCACATCAACACTGCTGGTGTCGCTGTTTTTGTTGAGCTTTGAGGATTTATAGAACAGACTCATTCTAGTCTATGATCTATTAACAGGAAAATAAACATTTATGCTTACTTTTATTCATTGGAATTGTTAAAAATATAAAACACATGAAGTAGAGGGGACAGAGACATTGGTGTGTTGCGCTTTGCTGCAAATGCTGTACAAAAATGCATCTGTTGGAGCCTGTTCGTGCAGAAAATGAAACAAACTAATCTGAACGACTCCAAATGACCCAGTACAACTGTAGCAACATGTCTTTTTTTGTTTATATTGTTATTGTACACTGAAAATATTGTAATTATGGTGTTTTAATTGCTTTAAAATGCTTTTCACTGTTGTTAATAAAGCTTTTACATCTTTTTTACATAAAACTGCAAGAATGATTTTTATTTGTCAACTGAAATTGTTATTGTATTAACTACTGTGAGGTAACTGAAGTTAAATAATTAGTTCAAAGTTGTCTTGGTATTTTTTTGAAAATGCAAAACAATTGAGTTGTTAATTGACCCAGAGAAAACAAGTTAAATAAACTTAAACTCCTTAGTCATACTGACAAACATTATGGACAGATTTGCTTTCCATTTACATTTTCTCAGTTTGAGGAAGCAGTTCTTAATTTGACATAAAAGCTTTACAGCTGCAGCTGCTTCTGTTAAAGCCACTTTTACCATTGTTAGTTAGAAGGCAACATGTGAGGACACTTCCAGTATACAGTAGGTGTAGGGTCAGGACTGAATTTGATACTAACCTTTATGGTAGTTAGCATTGTTTTCATTTCATCATGAAAAGTAAGACCCATGGCTTAATTTAACATGTATTAAAGACACACTGCAAATTGCCATCATGACTGTTTTCTTCAAACTATAAAAAAAAAAAACAATGGTCTCTAGAGAGTCAACTATCAGAAACAGTGCATAAAGTCTGCTAATATGCTGATGATGTTTCTTTATAAACTTAATGAGTTGAATAAACTTAGCTGTACATTCATTAAGTCAAAAGCCTGCAAATCAGAAGAACTCATGTTTGTTCTGCAATACTAAATAAAAAAATAAAAATAAAATAAAAATTACTAATTATAATTTGAATAAACTTGAAATTAATAAAACATATATCTTTACATTAAGTTTGTGAGAAAATTTTAGTTAATTCCACTATGATTTACAGTGTACTTCTGTACCTCTATAAGTAAAACATATAGAATTATGTCTATGTTGTACTAATTATATACTATGTTTTTAATAAAACATATATATTTATGTTAAATTCAAGAGAAAAGTGTGATTCCACTAAATTCCTGTATGATGTTTTACAGTGTACTCCTGTACTTCTAGGATACATTTTGAATGGAGGATTTGTGCTTGTATTTTTATGTTGTGGTTGTACATCATTGACTTTTGTAAATGGTGTGAATACATCTACCAATTAACATAATACAAATTACATATTAAAAACAACTACACATAACAATCCACTTACCATCAACTAAATGTGCACAATATAAAATTTGGGGTATTTAGTCTTAACCAAGTATTGGTTAAAAATATGTTCACAAACGTATTAGAGAAAGAAACTAAAAAATATTAATTTCTTTATTAAATCAATGAAAGGTCCATCACCAGCCTTGCAGTTCTCCTCAGGTCACTGTAGTTTGTGGGTATAAAAGTTCATTCAGGTGAAATGAAACAGATGTTTTTAATTTGAGTAACTGTCTAAAGCAGACTCTCACTCTTGTTTTCTTTTCTTCTGCTTGTCCTGCATCTGTGTGTGTGTGTGTGTGTGTGTGTGTGTGTGTGTGTGTGTGTGTGTGTGTGTGTGTGTGTGTGTGTGTGTGTGTGAGTGTTCATCTGAAGGACACGGAAAGTACGGTGCCTTCCACAGCTTGGCACAAACACACGCATAGATAATTATATGTCTTCCACAATCCACACACAGACACACACACACACACACACACACACAACTCATTAACACACACATATGGTCACGTGCATAAATGGCTCCTACGTGCACACACATTCACACGTGTTTATGAGTCAGAGCAGCAGTCCGGTAGGGTGGATTCCTCCATCTGTAGAGAAAGAGAGAAGTAACTTTTTGTCTTTGTGGTTTCAAGGTGAGAGGACTGAAAGACTTCCATGCAGCCGGTTTGCTTTTCCAGTCCAACTGAAATTAAAAACTATTTTGTGTGATATAAACATTGATAGTATATATAATGGACAGAGCTTCCAGGGTATGGAAATTAAAGCCAAAAACGAAAAAAAAAAACGATACCATGCACTCTAATGAAAAAATGACCCGACTTCTCACTTGATTTATAAGCTCAGTAAACCGTTTCCTAACAAGTTGATGGTCTCAATCGCTAGTTTCAAGTCTTCTTCCATACATTATGATCGTCTTTGTAAATGATGGTCCAGTATAGAGAAAAATAAATGATAAAGCTGAAATATGCTTTAGGGCGTGGCTACCTTGTCTCTGACAGGTAATTCTCAGTGAGTCTCAGTGAGTCCACTCAGATCAAAACTACCAAACTTGGCAGTGCTGATCAAATATAAAACAAGATTCTGTTACCGCATTGCCTATTTCTCACCTAAAACGTGTGTGACCAGGTGAGCCGCCGTTTTTTCCTGCTACGAATGAGTCGAAACTGCGCAGCTAATGAGCATAGATCAACTCGCATAGCGTCACCTCCGCTGGCTCAGTCTGACTGTCATGGCAACGGCCAAAATGCCAAACTTGAGGCTTCAAAACGGTTCTCCACAAACCAATGGGTGACACCACGATAGGTTCACACTCGCATATAAACCATTTATTACATTATATACTCTTCATAAATGCTAAATATGGGGGTTACCAGAAGAAAAGTGCACTGTGAGCCTCATTTTGCAAGCTAATTAGCATATCCGCTATTGGGTGTAGCACATGAAATCTGCTTTTTTTTAAAATTCTAAATGGTCTAGTCTTAATTCTTAAATACCACTGCTAACACATCATAGCAACATCATGTCTGTGTAGCAATTGGTTTGTGGTAATTTAGTTTGAACCCTTTAGGCGCCGGGTTTTATTTTTAAAAATACTAGATTTTGACATCTAAATTTCAGAAAGCTCTGGCTTGAAAGTGGTTTGAGATAGAGACAAAGTGTAAATGAGACAAATATTGAGAATGACCTAAAGTCTATCTAGGGAGTAAATTTTCCCATCTAATTTGCATATTATGACGTCATATGGCGGTGGCCATATTGGATTATGTAATTTCCGTTAAATACCTTAACTTATTTCATCAGATTCACCCCCCTCCATCTATTTGTTATGTTGTCCACATATCAAATGAACAGGGAAAAAGTAAATTGTAAGCCAGCAGTCGTAAACTAGAACTATAACTACACCACAAAACTCATGTAAACAGTAGGCGTTTTTTATGATTTTTTTTCTTTTTACCCACAACCACCATTGGAGGACACTTTTTCTTTTCCTTTTCTTTTTTTCTTCTTTTTTCTCCTCTTCTTCATAATTATTATTATTATTATCATTATAATATGATAATAATAATAACAGTAGGCGTCTTTTAGCTGCAGAGGCCTAATCTGTGCCCATCTATCCAGATAAAAGTTTGTAGTATTTGTAGAGTGTGGAACCTCTCATTGCAATGCGCAGTACAGAGACAATATGAACAATATTGAGACCCCACCCCGCACCACCACCACACAGCCGAACAAATGGACAGGCACACTGCTGCATCGCATGGCTGCACCACTGCCGTGCATGGTAGAAAGAGTGAACACTAACGCTGGTCCCAGCGCTATTCTCACTACCCCCGCTACGTCTACCACATCCATTAGCTCCCCTACTGATACTACGAGTTCGTGTATCATTTCCACTCCCACCTATGTTGGGCAAAGGGTCATGTGTTTGTGCTTGTGTGTTTTCTTGCTTTGCCTGGTAGCGCCATTGCTATGCAAAGACGCACCGTGACTAGCACGCTCACTAATCGACTGACCGTCATCTACCAAAGGGAGATTTTCCCCTTCAGAATCAGGATCAGCGTATAGGAGACCCATCACTTCCTTAAGCGTCAACTTTTTGCTTGTCATTTTCGTTTATTTCGTCTCAGTATCTCCTAAATCCAGCAATACCGCTTCAGCATAAATAGCGCCGTGGCACACTATTTCCGGTTTCTCACCCAACAGTTTTTTAATGGGACTTCCTCGAACATTTTGCATTGAAGCATGATGTATTTCTGAGCTAAGGTCTAAGTAAGGGATGTCTTCCAACTAGTGGAGGGGAGTATGAATGAGATATAACACTCTATTAGGAGAAAACAGCTGTTTGATTCAGTACCGCGTCGTGTCGCCCTTTGGCGCTTAAAGGGTTAAACATGTGAATGTGTTCATTAGCATTAAAGCACAAACATGATAAAAGCCTGGGTCCTTCTTTATTGCCTGATTTTGAGGCCCTGTCTTGAAGAGGGCCACATTGTCAAAATCTAGTTGGAAAGGATCAGTGTGTAGGATTTAGTGCCATTTAGTGGTTAAGTTGCAGATTGCAACTAACTGAACACCACTCGCATCTGTATCTGAGAACCAGGGAATTAGAACAAGCTGCAAAGCGAGTAGGAGAAACTACGGTGGCCCCGAAACTCTGGAAAAAAATCAGTGTTGGTTTTCTGTTCTGGGCTACTGTAGAAACATGGTGGACATGGAAGGCAACCTGCGGCATCTCTAGATAAAACCAGCTCATTCTAAGGTACCAAAAACACAACATATCCTATATTCAGTTGATTATACTCAAATCAAAATAATAATATTTTCAGTTTCTGCCAATAGATCGATAGATAACTAAATGTTACACATTGGACCTTTATGACATTCATTATTTCCATTTTATGCTTATGACGCATATTCCCTAAACTAATTTATGTTTAATTTAATCACCACACTACAAACCTTGGGCCAGGTATTTCGAAATATGAACACTATGCAGAGGAGGTATATGAGGACCCGACAGCTTTTTTTTGCCCACAGGGCCCCTAGAAGGAGGGGTTTTTCTTCAGAAAGAGATCATGATTTAAGGTGTCCACGATTACACAGGAAGCACTTTTAATCACGATAGCACTTCACCGTTTTCAAGGGTTTTGCTGCACCCAACACCTGCCTCCTTTACCACAACCTATGGTGTGAGACACAGCAGGAACCAGGTGTGCGCATAATTTCCTTGCACATGTATTTGAGCCAGGGGCGGAGTTTAGTCTTCAACAAGCTGTGTTGGAGCCAAGAAGAGACATATTCAGGATGCTGTGGTCTGACTGTCATGGCAACGGCCAAAATGCCAAACTCGAGGCTTCAAAACGGTTCTCTATAAACCAATGGGTGACACC